TCAGCAGGAGGCGGGCCAGGATGACCAGAGTCGGAGAGAGAGTTCGTAGGAGGCGGTGGGGCCACGCGGGAGAGGGGGAGCTGCTCAGTGAACACAGAAGAGATGTGGGAGTGGGGATGTCAGAAGCAGGCCAGCACCCGACCAGTCTCGGCACCAGGACACCGCCGGCACCCGTCAGGAACTGTGCCCTTGCCCGGTCTCCTCGGGGCACCACACTGACACTGCTGGGGAAAGGCAGCGTGGTCCTGCCTCCGGAGGGTCAGTCTGCAGGTGCACACACACGCATGCACCCACGTGCACCCACAGACACGCACCTGCACACTCCGTACTGGTGCTAGCCACAGCCTTTCCAAGTAGATGTGACTAATCTGCGTGGCACCCAGCAGACTTAGGTGGGTTCTGGAAGAAGGAGAGCTGAAACTCTCAGGACCTCAGAGGTGGGGCAGTGCCAGAGCACTTAGGACAGTGGGGCCTGGTCAGGATGCTGGATTCTTCAGAGGAATGCTTGTGGAGAAGCTCTCTGTCTACAGGGTTAGGAGTTCATGCCTTTTGGGGGCTGAAGCCTCAGGGAGTGGGTAGCGAAGCTAGAGGCCCCTAACGATAACTTGGCTTCAGCACGCATTGCCCGTCCCAGATCAGCTCCGTGTGGGTGCCTGCCCTTGCAGACAGCAGCCTACCCGGGTGGGCAGAGTGCAGGTGGTGCCAGCAGGCCCATTGCCCGAGGCCACGCATCCCGCCAGGAACAGGCCTGTGGCAGTTTGCGTTTATCCTTCGGAAGCGAGCGGAAGCAGCAAAGGTAACTGCACTTCAGACCTAGTGCGGGTCCCTGAGAGGGCCTGGCTGAGGCGGAGATAGGGTGGGCTCCGTGCCCTCACGGTGTTTGTCACAGGAGGAATGGGACCTAGGCTCACAGACACCATGGGGCCTGGAGCAGGCCCAGTCCGAGGCAGGCGGGGGCTGGAGATCCCCATCAGAGGACTTGGGGATAGAGGAGCAGCCTGGTCTATGCGGTGGTGAGGCTGATGGGGCGGGCATGGAGGCAGGCGAGGGCAGACTCCAGCGTGCTTCCTGGCCCCATGGTGGAATGGTGCTGTTTTCCACGATCGGACAAGAAGCAGAAGGAGCAGCTTGTGCGTGGGGGTGTCCGATTCATGAAGTGCCGAGTTTGCCCCATCCGTGGTGACTGGAGTCGAGGCGTTGAGAGGGTGTGGAGCCCAGAGAAGGGATCCGCGTGAGTGGGGACTGAGGATGATTGCCCGGCAGTGTCCACAGAGAGGCACGTTGTAGACATGCCCTCCAGGGTAGTGCAGAACAGTCGAGTGCAGGGTCTGCGCGTGTCAAGTGTCACACAGGTCCCCATCTTGAGCACCTGGAAGTGGTGGCTGTCTTGGAAGCCGATGGTGCTGCAGCCGCTGACATGCAGAAGTATTCCGTACAATGCTCGGCTCCTGTGATGCAGCTCTGCCTTGTCACTGATGTGTCCCCTTATGTTCCCTTTGCCTTTTTCCTTGGTGTCCTTCTGTGGTACACTTCCTGAGGGCAAATCGGCTCCTGAAGTGGCGCGTGCCTCGTGTGTATAATGCTTTGTGGAGAGTAGAAGTCAGCGTACACCTGTGTTGACTCAGACCCCTGCCAAAGTTTTTGTGTTTATTGTGCAGTTAAAAAAGGTCCAGCAAAAGACATAGTAATTAATGTGAACTGACAGCCCTTGGAATAGGAGAATATTTTTGTAAACTATGCCTCAGATAAGAGACTGATAATCAGAGTACACATGGAACTCCAGTGGCTTACCCGAGAAA